TCAGTCAAGCTCACACAAAAAGGTTGGGTCAGGCTCAGAATTCGACACAACCACGGCGTCGCGTGTCGCGTCGCGTCGCGTGTTGCACCTCCCGCTCCACCCGGTCACGTGCCACCGATTCCTCTAAGGAGGCGAGCCGGGCCTGCCATCACTTGGTCTCAAAAGGAACGAATCCTTGACTCGGAATGACACTCAAGTCATCATCCTCAAATCCACTGGTTGGGGATGTTGGCCCTGGTTTGAGACACAGCATGCAGCATGACTCGGTCATTGTGGCCTGCGATCTGCGATCTTTTTGGGGGGTCCATCGAGCGCAGCTACTGCAACCATACGGAGTCCATTTTGGAGACAGCCACAAACTGACAGCCACAAGCTTGGAGATCTTAGCTTGGAGCTAAGAGGCTGGATAATTTAGAGGGGAGGAATACCCAGCGCGATCAAACAAATTTCATGACATGTTTTGCCACGGCAAATATGTCAAACATGGAACAATTTCCCGGTCCATTGATCAGTAATTGGTTCAGAACATGGCTTTCCAGCACTTTCGTCTACTGGCATGATGCTATGTCAATTTGGGGCAGCGTTGCGTTGCGTACCCCCAATCCAAAGACTTCAGCAAACCCTGCATGCCAACCATCAACCACAACTGTTGGCAAATCTCATCCCGAAGCAAAGGCGATTGGGACAGAGGGAGGGTGTGAGTGTGTGCAATCATGTGCAATCTGTTCTTTCTCTTCATCCCACCTCCACCATTTGCCGCGCTTTCTTTTCCTTCGTCAGTTCCCCTGGCTCGTTTACGACCCGAGCCAGCGAAGGCGCTGTGCCGACGAGGGGGAAGCTGCAGCATTCGTTGGCAGGTGTTGAGATTTGTCAGCACTAAAAAAGCGCACATCGATCGAATGCTTGCAGGTGATAGGGCAACATGGGCAGTGCTTCTGGCAACATGAATGCACTTCCTGACGGCACCATGAATCACAAGGCATCACAAGGCCCTATGACTAGTTGAACGAATCCCAAGCGACGAGAAATCGCCCAACAAGTTAGGCATGAGAGATATGTAGATTGCACGAGATGGGAAGAGTCCGGGAAGAGACGAAGCCCCCTGGGGGTTCGGAATTGAAGCAAGGCGTGCTATATAAACCAAGAGGGTCCGCTTCCTAAATGTTGCTTTCAGCTTTCCTGGTTTGTAAACAAAGTAGTTGGTGGGGTGCGTTGCTCTCCCATCGTGCAAGCTGCACATGGTCGCGTGCGCTCAACCATGTTCATGACTCCATGACACAAAACACTCACAAAACCGGGTGGGCCAGAACGACATCCCACACACTGATGGTAGTCATCGAGTGAGGGGAGCCACCCTGATTAGGGTTCCTCATGAGCATGAGGGTCTTAGACCTTGTTACTAGTAGCTTCATGTAGCTTCTAGCTACTAGTGATGCCCTTGTTACTACTGTAGTAGTACTGCCCTTGTTACTCGTAGCTTTTTTTCCACCCGGAACCTCAGGGGAGGCTCCCCGTTTCCCTCCGAGCTTCCCCTTCCGGCCAGTCTCTCTCCGCTCCGCGCCATCCAGACGTGACACCAACTGCCGGAGTGCCGAGTCGCCACCACCGCCACCTCCTGACCGATCCGTACGGGGGAGCTCCACGGAGGTCCGGTACGGCGGTACGGTGGTTGTATTTCCCAGACAATGATGTGAAACACTTTGTGAAGGTTCAGAACAAAACGGCATATGAATATGCAGCTCCACCTTAGACACTTCCATGTGGAAACACATGGTTTCACGTGGTTTCACCAATAGACCCCATGTCTCGGCAATCAGTGACACTGACACTGACCTCCACAGGATTTTGTGAGTTCGGATTCCGTTGTGCAAAGGTACGAAACTGTCACTGTCAACTTTCGCTCAGAGGGAAGTCCTATCTCTCCACATTCCAGTTTAACTCGGCGATGGATCACTGCAACATCCTGGCGAACATGCGATCCCTGCGGGCCCAAACAAGACCAGCATGAAAACATCATCACCGTGGCAATCATCAACTTCACTTGAGCGGTGTTCAAAACCAAAGTAAGAATACGTTAGTTTCATAGCCCTATTCATTCTTTACTTGGGAGTTCTGGACGCTGCTCACTTGATTGAATATGGTGGACAAAGTCCTCCCGAGCTGACTTTGAGATTGGGGTTCTTAGACAATGACTGATATTGACTGATGACACATGTGCGTCGCTAAAGCTAATGACGGAGTGGAGGAAATATGATATTGCAGCAGGGAACCAAACATGCTCAAAGTTGTAAACCAAACTTGCATGAATTTTGACATGCAAATGAACATGTTAAGAACACCATACATTGCTGTTTGCAGGTCATGGGGGCTTCAACCTCAAGCTGCTGATACTCAAATCAAGAAACATCCACGCCTCTTCCAACCAGGCCACACGTCGTTCCAGCGGTCTGAGGGCAAATCGAGGCGGCACGAAGCTTCGTTCGACGTCGCAAGATTATAATCAACAAGACCAGAAGAGAGCTGGTTCTTGCAAGCTGGCAAGACATAGTAATCAGCGACTCCCCCTCCGGCGCTTCTTGAACAATCAGGCCAAAAGTGAAAACTATGCACAACAGCTCTTCAGAAATCAGTTTGCTCAAAGACTTTATTAAGGACGTTTGTGACAGATCATAAGCAGGACGTCTATTCCGGCCCAATCCATCTCCAGGGCTCCCCACTGGTGTGACTGAGACTGAGACATGCCTCCCACAGAAGTGTTTAATTCGCTGCCGGCCTGAGGCAGAAACCGACTGAGGTGTCCCATGCTGGGCTTGAGCTAATGACTGCTGTTCCACAGCGCAAAATAGATGACAAAAGGAGAAAAGCAACCAATTATATTTCTTTTAATTGTCAGTCCATCGTTCTTGGGCCGCACATTCTAATTAAAAGGACATGGCGTAAGAAACCTGGAAAAGGTCCCGCAACCGGGCAACGGCTAAATGTATAGCTTCTTTGCAATACTGCAACTACAATTGGGCAATCACATGCAAGAACATGAGACACCAATCACCAATCGCCTGCGATGGCACGCCAGAGGCGGGCTTTGCCTGCGATCGCGGACAGGAGGATACGCAAGAAACACATGACAACGCTCACTTGCCTTGCCTCCATCATGGCGGATCCACTCCCCGTTCGTGGGACGACTCTTTGGATGTGAAGATCAGTGGAAACAGCTGCGTTTTGTGAGCAAACTGCAGTCCAAAAAGAGTGTGGCTGCGATAAAGGGGTCAGTACCCTCACAAAAGCATCCTCGTCTTTTCTAGTCAAATCCCAATTAACTGGCATTGTTCAGCAGAAATTGGCTGCACCCTCGTGCCCGAAGCAACTCGAACCAAGCACTGCTGCCTTCGAAGTTCGCAATCATCACCATCCGTGTGTGTGTCACAGTATGTCACAATTTTCCATCTCACCGCCACTCTGGGTCCGTGCCTGCTATCAACAGCATCTGGGAAAACTCTACTGATTAGTCTATATACATTATACTATACACAAGGATCTCCCAAAGTGTCGAGCATTGTAGACCAGCAGGACCGGGACGCACCCAGCCGTTCTCCTTGAAGCCACTTGTCTCTGAGGTTGCAATGCACGCGCCCCTTTCGCGGGCAGTTTTTGAAAAGACCGCACCAGACCTCTCCGCTTGCATACGCGCCCTTCTTTTGCCGATGAGCAAAGGACCAAAGTCCAAGTGGTGCCACCAATTTCTTGGAGCCAGCCCTGCAGTGGAGCATGTCCGTCAAGAGCTTGGTCACCTCTCTCTAGCGATCTGATGGCCGCAGGCATGCCCACTGCCCACGCAGGATGGACACCCTGCGGAGTGAGTAGGGTCAAAGACGGAACATCCACTGGGATTCCAAAAACAGCCCCTTGCCATCATGGTCGTCCCAATAGATGGGAGCCTTCAGGATCCGGTCCGATGCGCCGGTACACGGCCTTGTTGTGGTTGGTGAAATCTCTCGCGTACTGAGGCCCAAGCGTGGATCACTGCAGTTGGACATAGTGACACAATCCTGAACGACCCAAAGCATCAGAACTCTCCTAAGTCACGATATTTGATTCACTTCTGGGGCCCTCGACTTTGGTCAATGACCGGGCATTGGCACAAGATAGGTCCACCATGGGCCCAAGATGTGCCAACGTAGCCCCAAGATGGCCCGCCAACATAGCACCAAGCCGGGGTCAACATGGGTACAAGATAGGCCAACGTAGGCAAGATGGGCCAACGTAGCCCAAGTCCTCATCCTGCCACATGATCCCGGGCTCCTCATGAGTCCTCTCTAAGCCGCTCTGGTGCGACAGCTTGTTGCCGCAGCGTCGATCGCGCCGAGACCTCTGCCTGGTACAGTGGTCCTCTAACTCGCCGAGACCTCTGCCCTCGAGGCTGGCGGGGCACATCGCTGATGCCACACTGTCTTCAGCTGCTGAAACTTCAGGCCTGCTTGCTGGACTGGCAGGATCGCACACGCGGCTTGGCGCAGCAGCTAAACTGGTCGCTGGTTGGGTCCATTCCACTGAGGAGCAGCAAGAAATCAAGAAGGATAGGATAATTGTGCAAACTCCCGCAAACCCTGCCTTTTCGTGCACGTCGCCTTCGCTCGTTTGGATTGGATGGTCATTGGATCGTCATCCTTATCCTCGGCTTGATCTCGACTTATGATGTTCTCGCGAGTGTTAAGAGGACTAGGCTCGAACTCCTAAAGCTTTGTCCCAACAAACCCAACAAACGGAAGCCTGCAGCAAAAGGAAGCTCACATCAAATCTAATCCCGTTTCACATGCCGCTGTTTGGGAGTCCGCAGATTTGCAAGGCCTTCAAAAACCATCAAATTCAAACACAATTGTTGTAGGTGCACGTGCATGTGCATGTGACCACTGCATGGAATTCAAGAACCATTGCTGGGTATGCAAGTGTATGCACACCTTGCACAAGTAAGTGAAGTATTCACTCTGTATCTGTCTAGGGCACACAGTTCTTGTCTACTAAACAACAAGAGGGACAACAACACACTACTACATATATGTACAACTGACATGAATAATTCACAACTATTGAAACAGTTGCACATGTGTGAACTTCCCCACCAAGGAACCGCAAAAGGCTGAGCGTAATGAACGCCCAAAGGTCTATATTATATATGGTCGAAATCGCTTGGACAGGTTTGGATCAGTAGCTTCCACAGCATCCACTCCTGATCGTCAAACAACCTGAGCGAATGCGACGCGGTCAAACTGGTCTTCTCAAACTCGTCTTCTCACAAAAGACCGGCCAATCAATTCAATTTCGTCTTCTTTCAACAGGTTCTTAAGACACTGAATTACAAGCTAGGGCATCTCAATGTCTGAAGCAACCTTTGGTTTGTGACCTCTGTGAACCAAACATGGACCCCTGGAAGGAGGGTTTCTCCAACAGGCCTAGGCCATGAATTGTAATGTTCTAGGATGTTCTAGGCCATGTGTGTGTTTCCCTTCCTTATTAATGGTGGTTTCATAGTGCTTAATCATGTCTAATCAGTCTAATCCTCATTGTGTTGTGCAAAGACCGGTCAAGGGTGTTTCACCCAATGTCAAGTCTTGCAGAAGCATAATGGATCTGCTTGTTTGGGACTTACTCACTATGCTGTTAATCATCGCACAGTGGGGAATAATTCACCTTTGCTGAAATGACACCAGCCGTCATACTTTTTGAGTCCGACTCATCGCGAGAGTCATGGAACTGCTTAGTGATGACTTTGTACATTGGTTCTCCACCACACAAACTCATGGTGGTATCTAACATGGCCAATGCTCACCTTTGGTGACGGCACCTTTTCGCCGTTGGACAGCCAAAGTTTGCAACAGCAAACAGGCTCATCAAACGTTTCCGAAGACTCTGCTACCACTGCTACCCCTATTTCGTCCATTTTTACTATTCTATACCATATTATGTTGCCTCTGTTTCCGAAGCCAAACCAGGCCCACTTCCTCTTTGAGGAAGCCAGGCTCCACTTGAACAAATGATTACTTCAATCTTGAGGGCTTCTTTCAGAAACGAGCCTTCAAGGACCTAAATCAGACGTCCGAGACTTCTTGCTGCGCCAGCTGGGCAGCTCACCCTTCAGCAAGCGAGTCCAAATGGGTCCTCACCGACCGTCCCGTCCCGTCGAAACCGTCGGCAGCGTCGACCTCCCCGGCGAACGCGGCGCGCGTCGAAAGCGTCCTCCTCGGGAGTTCAAGGCGGCAATGACCTCCGGGTTGTAGATGTTGGTCGGGGCTGGTCGCATGCGGCACCTGCATGGCGACTGGAACAGACAAGAGCAACACCCATTTTTCTGACATCACCTTCTTCATGCTTTTTCAAGGGAAGCACCAGGTTCTACAGGGAAGCATAATGACGCAAAAATGCTCCATGAAGTCTAGAATCATCAAATTCCATATAAATCGGTCGAGATCAACGCAAGACCGCCTGCATTGATGTAGCGCAGCAATGGCCCCAACCCAAATTTGGAATGACATCTGGTACAATCTGTATCTGCTCTTTGGTCTGAACGCATCAAGTGTCCGTCTAGCCGCACAGTTCAAATCAATGCTTCAAGGGTCAAACAAGTATCGGTTTAGATACGATGAGCGTCTTTACACGGATCACCTCCTATGGACTCTGTACTACTCCAGCGCTGCGAGACTGCATGGTCTAAACACACGTGAGACCTGGGAAAATCCTACGGGGCCTACGCCTTAGACCCTGGGATCAGAGTTACTACGTAGATCGTGTGACTTTGTTGAGCTGCAGGGCTGCTGTGCACCTCCTACACAGCAGTTCAGGCTCTGCCTTGGTCGCAATGCATCGTTTCCGCAAAGGGGTCGGGACACCAAGGATTTTTCAGAGGCGACCTTCGTGAGTTCGCGAAGGACTTCGCGCCCTTGGAATGAATGGTCTCAGAACGGGGATCCAACTATTTGGTATTCACCTCTGATCACTGATCATACCACATGTTGGCCAATAGGGGATCAATTTTGACATTTCATTATATTGAACTCATGTCTATTCATTTCATTTTTGAGATCAAACCAATGAACCTACAAAACCTATATTATATAATATTATACAGAAAGTCAAAGGCACAGTGCGACCAGCCCAGCTGTCAAGACTTATGTCAGCCGGCTTGCCTGGGGTTCCCATGTGTCATGTCAGGAGCTTCGTTCCCCCGCTTCGGGTTAGGACACAAACCGCAAGGATTGATTGGCGAGATTCTGCGATGCCGGAGTGGAGGTCACTGGTCTGTGGATGCCAGAGTTTCACTGGATTCCACTATGAATGGAGCGATCGGATGAGCTGGGAAGACACAAAAACCATCGGGTTCCGAAGTGAACGGGGAGACTCCACCCGCTCCCAGTCCTGAAAACCACCCGCTAGTCCCCGAGTCGGCCCGAGTCCTGGGTCCCCAAACATGATGCTGCCATGCGTGGAATGCGCGATTCTCACAGGTGCCAGAAACACAGCGGCAGTGGCCAAGCACACGTTCGGGGCGTGGCACCTGTGACTCAGCCAGCAGGTAAGAACAAACGCAATTGGAGGGACGTTTGCGGTCGTTCAGTGACTCATGCTCTCGTGTATGTTGTCAGCACAGGGACAGTTGAGGAGTTTTGCACGCTTTTGTCAGCTGAAAGTTATTGCTTCATGGGGATGAAGCCTTTTCCGTTGTGTTGAAGCAAAGGCAGCAGCCACAAAGGTTAAGAAACTCCACACCTCTTTGTCTCTTCCTCAAAGTTACCCCCCAACAAGTACTTAAAACACAAGTGTTTTGAGTCGTCATAGGGCACTAAACGATCCTACCAAGGCGCCACATGAAGGCCGCGTAACACATGTGGCGCGCGGAATTCCAAGGTGGACAAGCCGGCGCGGTCGCCCTGCAACAGGGAGATTGACACGACGCCACGGTTTGGCGTTTGGTGGGGGGGGTTAGAGGGTGCTGACTCGTGCTGACTCCTTCTTCAGCCAGAAGGAGCCACAAAAACTGCTGATTGTTTGGCCAAAAGAAGGCCCCTGGGTGGCAAAACCAACCTTTCCCATGCGGTTTCGAGACAAATACATTGGAAGGATGTGACAAACATATCGACATACATCGACAACAACCTGGGACAAAAGCATTCTGAGAACAAACAAGGAAAACACTAACCATGGAACATATCTCAATTTATTGAATGATCTGCATCCCTCCGTGCGCCGTGGGTCCTGAAGGCAAGATGGAAGCGTGGTTGTTACGCTGCTTCGGTCTGACATGGCGCTCATCAAAGCAAATCTTTGCTTGGAGCCTCTGGGGTGTTGGTGTATTTTCCTGAGTTTACACTAGGTTATCAAGAGCTGTAACAAAAACAGCACTTGGAAATAAATATGATTTAATTACAGTATATTCAATACAGAATATAATCAATGCACATTCACTAGTGTTTGATGATCAATCCATATCAATCCGCCACTTTGGGCTGATCTAGGAGCCAGAAATGCCAAATGTCAGCAGTTCATCACTGGTGCCACCGGCGGCCGGCCCGCCGTTTCAAATGCGCTGTTGTTCTGCTCCATTCTCAGCGTTGATCTGCACCGGACTTGACAACCTTTCTGCTCCAAGTCACGTCGCACAGGCATAGACCATCTTGGCAAACTTCCTTCCTGGCAACAACAAGATGAGAGAGGAAAACTAGGTTGCCAGGCTTTTTGGAACCGAATCACTTCAGTGATGACAGGGAACTTATTAAGGGTGGGTTCTTGGCTTGGTACTGGACGTAACCTGCACGCATGAAGCTTCCTCTCCCCAGTTCCGGCTTCACATGTGCCTTTCTAGTAAAGGTCAGCACAAGAGTGCTCTTTGTTCTGAAGTGTTCGACAGACGTGTCCGTTTGACACAATGCAATGTTCAATGGGATCAGCTCGCCTCAACAGGTCAATGGGATCAGCAGGTCAACTGCTTCTGCAGACGTCGCAAGCGGCTGTCAGTGCTTCGCTTCAAGCTCCGGCAGGATCCAACTGAGGCCAGTGTCGCGGACAACACCTGCACCAGGTGAGATAGAAGTCATGTCAAAACGATACCCGACGGATCGCAACACAGTCCTAAGGAAGCAGGCCATGCTGCTACAGGAAGTCCTAAGTCCTAATCCAACTAACCAAACATGAACTCGGAGGTCATCCTACACAAGCAGAAGCCTCTCTGATATGAACTGCCACTGCGATTCCCTAAATATTCCGAAATCCGAGGCTTTCGCTTGGCTCAGGTGAGGTATGCCAGTCGCGTTTTCTGGTCCAAGCCGCATGGCAGAAAGCGACTGGCACATCGCTCTGCAAAAATGTTAACCTTGACTCGAAAGGGAAGTCAACATTTTGCTGTGCAAACTTAGCCATGGGATGTTAGGATGTTACAATAGTGCCTAGCTGGCAAAAAGAAGCGCTTACAAACACAAACGCACAGGTCATGCAAAGACTGCCAAGCCCATCTTTCATAGTTCTTTCATGTTCTTTCACAAGAATTTTCCGTCAGTCGCTTCACCTAGTAAATCCAGTCGCATCCCTCGGCTGAGATTCCCCACGTAGTGGTTCACACGCAGCAGCTGCCAGGGCACTTCCACATCAATTGCTCCAAAGATGGAGCGCGCATAGTGGTCGTAGACACCCCACACCTATAGAGATGAAGGAAAAGCCGGCGTAGTGGAACCAACGCAACAGTCATGGAATCCAAGGGGGGGCTCTGTGGAATCATCGAATTTGGCTGAAGTTTAAACTTCGTTTGTCGTGGAGAGGTCAATTGAAATAGCAAAAGTTGCTTTGACGTCGCCATGGTTTTCGCAAGATGCCATATTTATGGACGCTTCCTTGTACCAAACACCTGTATTTATCTTTTGAGAAAAGTGGGAATGTACAAGAAGGACGTACAGGGGTCAGCTCTTTCAAACTCCCAAAAAGGCTCAAACATCGCGCCAAACAGGGGACAACAGGACCTATCGTACTCTGGTCACATGTCATGAAGGTCCCACCTATCTAGCCCCAGAGCTGCAGTGCTGTTCCGTTGCTCCTTTGTTTCACCTTTGTTCACTGCGGTACTGGTCAAAGGGCACCGGCGGCACCAGAGTTCACTCAACCTGTTCAGGTACACAAAAGCCTCAATTCAGGACTTAGGCGAATTTACAGTGACGTCGGGTGAGGTCACTATAATTCAGGCAGATCAAATGCTACTGTATTTATAATATATATATATAATTTAACTTATATATGATATATAATTATGATTATATATATAATATATTATGGCCACTCAGAGAACCTCGTCTAGGCGTCCCCAACCTAGCCACCCAAGGTGGATGACTTTTGAATGCATACAACATAACACAACAATGATACAATATTTAATCAAAGCATATTAAAACACTAACAACGCAGCGCAAGCCTCACAAAGGGCTTGCCTTGACTCCGAGGTCTTGCCAAGCAATGACAAATCCTGGCTTTCAATAGCTGTTCTTGTCAAATATTTGCGTTCCAAGCTACATTCAAGGGATTCTTCATCGTCACGCCAGGGTGATTCAGCCAGCATTCATCTCTGGGATTTCCCCGGCCAATCTCTGCCAACACTCGCACTGGCTCAAACGCGCGATGTTGATATCTCTCCTCACAAGGGCGTCAGGGCACTCGTGCATCTAATAATATCATCTAACGTCATCGCGTCTCATTTTGCATGGCACCGCATGTGACAAAAAGTACCGACAATGGACGAGCACATTTCTTGCTGGGCGGAGTGGGTCGCTAGTCCGGGAACTTGTTTGGAATTGGCAAACCTCATTGTCTTTTGCTACCAGAAGCAAATAGCATTGAAGGCGCTTGCCTGGTCCCAAGGACATTCTTGCAGGGAAGAGCAAGGCTCTTTGATTTTGTCAAAAAAATAGGTTGTGTTACAGAATGTATGATAATGGTAAGTTTCTAAAGCCAAAACAATACGGAAAGCATACACCGGATGTTGCTACTGCAACCCCACGGCAGCTTGTTTCATACCATTCCCACGTGGGGCATGGCGGGGTCGAAAGCATAGGGAGCAACTTTGTTACTAGCCAGAGTGGTGTGCTGATGAACTACGTTTGTTTCTTTCCGCCGCAAGCAGTTTTGTGACTCCAGCACAATCTGTCAAAACCTCATGTTCTTTCTAAGTTCTGCCACAAGCATTTCTTTTCACGTTCCATCAAGATGTGGTTTCTTCCAAAAATAATGCCCTAAACAGGCCTAAACATGTTCATGTGTTTCCTTTTTTTTCTGGAACCATTTTGGAAGCTCACCTCCAACAGATCAAGGGAAACGGATGAAAACGGTCTACAATGAATTTGTGAGCATGAAGATCACCCTCCTGTAATCCATTCCTGGAGGGTCACCCATTCCAGACCCGGCCCGGCCCTAGTAGTTGAGGGTATCACAATTCCACAATAAGACCTACAAACCAACCACCCCACGAAAGCCCCACACGCACACACACACACAATTCACACACGAGTCATTGACTTCTTCAAATGCAGAAATAAATGAACCAATGACGGCACAACACATGAATTGGAATGAGCCACAACTAACCACGATGAATTGGAATTGACTGCACCACCAAAGTCCAACATTGCCAGCGGCACCTTGGAGGGCAAGTGAATTGACCATGATGCTGTCCTTCATGCATGGGTTCATATGGGCTCTTAATGACCCGCATTCCGACTTAAATGGAGTCTCCGTTTGGATAATATTTATAATACCCGTGGATTGTAAAACGTGGCTCACAAATACATCAAACGACCGAAAATTGATTGGCACATCTTGCGTCTGCTGAAAACTGCTTTCGGGATTTGAGGGTTCTCCGGGTTCACGCCGTTATATTTTCTTCAGATGCCACCTGGAGCCCCACCACCTTGCCAGGCTGCAGTGCCGATCTCATGGCGTTTGGACTCCAGGTGGTTCAGTACCACGTCTAAACGATGCCCAGGCGCCTGAGACGAGAGTCCGGGAGTCGGTGAGTTGCACGGGCGCCTCCGCACCGCCCGTGGGCTGTAGTGGCACGGCTTCAGCCTCTGCGAGGGTTTATGGGTCCAACTTGTAGCCCACGTGGGCTGACACCAAGTAGCTCCCAGGGAAGAGCCATCTAGAGGCAATCTAGGACACAGAAAGACCGCCAAATTGCTGCAAGACCGCACTTCCACATGCCAACATATCCCAACAAACTTCCAAGGCTCTGGTGCTAAATATGCATCAAAACTATGTAGAGTAATCACCTGGGCCGGATGAGAACTTGGCAACCCCGAAATCAGAGAGTTGTTGGATTGGACCTCAGGTCCGCCTTGAAAGGAAACAAACAGGACCAGTCCGGGAGTGGAGAGATGTTCATCCAAATCGCAAAATCCTTGCAACATCTGGTAATGATCCATGGGTTGAAGAAAGATGCAGTTGAGCTTCGAGAGCGCAGAGGGGGAATATGTCCCAAGAAGGGTGGTCACATCTGTGAGGCATCTTGAGCCCCTTCATTCTTACGATGTATTATGATGATGTATTTACAGTTCGACGAAGCTCTTCCAAAGACCACATCATACTGCATTTCAGTCCTTCTCGCAAGCCTGCTCAACATGTTCAATGCTGCTTGAGGGCCCAATCGGATCTTCCACGTTGGCTCCACAAGCAATGAGCCTGGCTGAGTTGTAGCTCTGGGGGACTAGGCAAGCAACGGGACACTCAGGACGAACCCAGGTTCCCATCAGCTCTTTTTTCCCCCAAAGGTCTCGGCACCAAAAGGCTCGTGGACGCGAGCGGTCTCCCCGTCCCCAGTCCCCAGCCTCCGCCACGACGCTGAGGCAGTGCCGGCAGTGCTCCGTGCGGCTGATGGTGCCGAGCTTCTCGGAGAGATGAGAGGGCCAAAGCGGGAAGTAGGAGACCTGCGGGCGGAACGTGTAGTCGGTGGAGACATGGTTTTCTTCTGCCGCTCTGCCCTCTTCCTACTTATGTAATTCAGAAAGGGTGACTAGTTCGCTCCTGGCCAGGACGCAGCTCACGCTTCGTCAAGGAAGTTCCCCCCGCCTGAGGGCGGGCAGGAGCTTCCTTGAAGAAGCGCTCGCACTAGTGATCTGGTTCCTAGATTTTTAGGGAGACTTGACTTTTCTGTCATGAACATGACGACAACTCAGCAATGTCCACAAAGACTCATGACTCATGTTGGGCATTTAGCTTTGGCTTGTATATTTATATTTGGCTGTAGGATTAAAGTTGAATCTAATCTTTTTCAAGTAGCAGCTCCGTCCGCCAAAACTGTGAAACTGACTTCCCAATCAACGCGCAATTTGCCAGAGTACAAGTTGACATGCAACTGAAACATTGGCTTTAACCATGTGGTGGGTCGAGCTACCTTTTGTCTCGTATGATGAAAAACAACAGCAAACCTACCGAGCGAAAAACATTGACTCCAAAGGAGGTTGTGAGAATCTCAATAGCCCTTTCCATCCTCCTCTGTAAGTTGTAGTGCTCTCAGCAGCAACTACATGCGAAACTTCACCGATGAAGAAAGCTTCGCCGGCGAAAACTCAGAGTTTTTGTGGCAGCGAATCGAGTGCCCTGCCAGCGATAGAGTGCCCTGCCTGTGCATCTGCAGAAACAGAAAACACCTGCTGGATCTCTGCTGCTGACCCATCAGAATCATAGAGAGCAAAGTGGTCCACACCCATGGCCTGACTGAAAGTTGAACAGAAGGCCAAGCAATATCTGGAACCCATGAGCTGTTGAGTTGGGAGTGTCAACATACCCCAAAGTGCCTCTCACTCCTCTCACTTGCTCACCATCAATCTACATACAACTACTTCCTGCACCAGCGAGACTTCTAGACATGCCAGGCAAACGTCCGACTCTGGTCCCAGGCGAAAGCTTTAACATATGGCTGTAACATCTGGTACCACAGTCAAACAATCATCATCATCATCATCATCAGCAGCAGCAGCAGCAGCGGAACCATTAAATTACTTCAAAGCCCAACCTCAGGACATACGACCCAGTTCCACATTCCAAATTTAAGTGAAGCAGAAGCCTGATGATAGGCCAACCACTGCTGTAGCAGTGAGCTGCCCGCCATTTGCTGGCCTAGAGGCTGCGGATTGGTGCGGATTGTTGCTGCTGCAATACGCTGTTGAATTGCAACAGTTTCCCCAAACACTGTGATTCCTGAAAACATCCAAAAATATAGACACAAGTGATTGAGGCATGCTTTCATTTAACTCTGTATGGGTCCATCAAGGTGATCTGATTCTGCGTAGAGTGAGTGGCCTACAGGAGGTGTCGCTGCGTTGCTGAAGATTTCCACCGGTTTACCCAACTGAGATTGACATCCAGGTCACTCTTCCACGCTTTTACACTTGGTCAAAGCACTTGAAGTCACGTCAGGCTACGTGTATATATATATATAGTATGAATATGGCATAAATAGAGCTATATATCTATATTCACACCATACACATGATTATACACTGAATGATATTACATTGTTCCCCAAATGGATCCCTCATCAAGGCCACATCGAACCATCCAGCACAGTATGCCATTATAGTATATTACAGTATTGGCGGCAAGAATACAGGCCCGGGACCACATGATTTGCTCTACTTCGCCGTACTGGACATCATCTTGGGGCTACGCAACTCTGACCATCTCATACGTAGCCTCTCACGGAGTCTATTCGGAAACGGTGGAACCTTAGGCACTCGCCACTGGAGGGCCGGATCGAAGTGTCACCCGAGCGAGGTCGTCCGGAAACGGCTCGAGCGCTCGCGCCTGCATTGAACATGACCCCGCTGCAAACGGTGAGGCGGAACTGGTGCCCTTCGCTCTGAAGCTTGCAAAGTGGAATGTCTGGAGCTTTCCAGTCACCTGCAATGCAGTTGCAGAAAAGCATGAACTTCAGCAACACATTTCATCCATTTCATTACATTTCCAAGGGCTGGAAAAGGATCAGGTTGTGTGCAGTTTGGTAGAATATAACACTCTTTTTCCTGACAGATCGAGACCAGTTAAGACCTGCGAGGACATTAATTAGGCCACGTGATCCCTTTTCTTTTTCCCAGCCCTTTGTGTTTTCTACGGCTGTACTAAAACGATAAAATACGTGATCCTTTTCTCTCACCATGAAAAGCACCTGAAAAACGGGCCTGTCTCCAGTTTCACCACCAGTTCTTCCCCACCGATGGTGGGCTCATCAACTGAGAAAGCACATCTCACCACCACGTCAGTGCCTCAGCCAAGCGTCGGAGTTGAACCCGCCACTGAATTGACAACACCACACGACCATTTGACGCTATGGGGGGATTCTTCAAAACGAATGTCGGGGTTCTTCAAAACTGTCTGGGGGGTTCTTGATGTCTCTAGTAAATGATAGGAACTTTGAGAATGGAAATGCAAGCATCGACAACCTGAAACAATACTGTCGAGTGGCGGTGTGTTGGCTCAATGATGCTCAATGAATGCTTTCCATCTGTCTCTCTAGTGGGACGATGAGTTCTGCTCAAAACCGTGAACAAAAACCCAGTCCGAAACCAAACAATCCCAATAACATGGTCTAACAGCTTGGTCTACTAAGTCTACTATTTACCTTGTTGGCGCACTCTCCAACCATCTCCAACCGCGGTTCACGCCAAGTCTCCGAAAGCAGAAGCACTGGAGCAGTCGCTCCATTCGCCCTGGTGAAAGCGGTGTGGGTTAGGACCTGTGGACCTGTGAAACCTGAAGAAACCATAAGAACCCCCTATAGTATAGGTTTTGCTGTTTTTGTTTTTCCAGCCCGCCCTTACTTCATTAAGTTGGTGCATATTGGGCGCCTACTTAGTAAAGTATCTTAAGTTAGTGAGGGAGTAGGCTCCTGGGTAGGACGCAGCTCACGCTTCGTCAAGGAAGCTCCCCACGCCTGAGGGCGGGGGAGAGCTTCCTTGAAAGAAGCGCTCGCACTAGTGATCTGGTTCCCAGTTTTTTAGAAAAACTCGGAAACTTAATAATTAGCCTTTCTGTCATGGTTTCTTCCACCCTATGTATATAGGCTTCTTCCGGGGTGGCCTTTCTTACATGAAACCAAATGTCTTCGCACCTCACCCAGCCGGCCGTACCAAGCTCTGGAAAAGCTCGCGGGCACGGTGCGAAGGTTGCTGCCAGACTGGGTGATGTAGCACTGGTCCTGGCGACGACGCACGACACGTTGGGTCAGATAATGATACACCATTCTGCATGGGGTGGCCTCTGAATCTATCCAAGACTCCAAGACAAGTCAGGTCTGAGTCTACCAAAACTACGTAACTACGCAGCGTGGCTGCACCGTTTGGAACGAAAGAGTCCGTGCGTCACCTATGACTGCAGTCCACACATCGCTACGAAGCTTCCTTCAGCTGTTTAAGTTACAGTGATGTTAAAGCAACGACAAGGCCAAGGACCAAACACAAACCCCTTAGGACGGTTTGACGGGTCATTGACAGGTGCTGAATCCTTTGATGTACTAGCAAAGTAGCGAGCACACCTCCAAGCGCGCGAGTGATAGTCACAAATTGAATAACAAGGGAGCTCCGAACCATCATGTGCAACAGCTGTCCGACATCACAGTTTGCACTGAGGTGCATTGTCTGCATGGATTGCAGTCTGCATTCTGCGTAGAAGAAGGAGTTAGTCGACCCAATCATCCTTCTCTTCGATCAAATCCCAACGTGCTGAGATTTGCTCAGCGGGGGCAGCCATTGTCACAATCAAGAGGAGCAAACGCATTCATGGAGGGAGCAGTTGGCTTTATCACCATGTGCTAACTATGCTGGCGGTCAACAGCGTCGCGAGAAAAAGCGGCTATGTTGAATCTTGTGTAAGTCCATGGCTTCCGTAAGGCTTCCATAAGGCTTCCAGAACTGCTCCAACCTGGAGGAGTCCATTGCTCCAGGCCAACCTTCCGCCCAATCCGTTCCCGCCGGTCCCTGGAGGTGACATGCATCACCAAGTCCAAGAAGAGGCACTGGTCCTCTGCTTCAGCAAAGGCCCCCAGAACCTCAAAGCTGGACTCAATCTCTTCAACATGGGCTAAATACATTGTGGATGATGGGTGAGGGGTGAGAAGACCATGAAGGGATTCATGCAAATAGCATCTCAAACAGGCTTTGCAAGTTATCTCTTCTATCAACAACAAGAGCTCCGTCGAGCCGAAAATCTTCGGCAAAGCACATGGATCTCCACGTCCCGCATGAAGGCACCTTGAGGGAGGTCAGGAGTTCAGTGAACTGAAAAAGATTGCTAACGGGTTTAAAGGGAGACCCGTTTGATGAACGCGACGTCTTGGGATACTCTGGGTCACTTCAATATTTCCTGGTGACCCGAATAGGAGTACCATGAATCGAGAACTGCTAAATATTGGCATTACTGTAGCAGGTTCATCTAACATTATATATGTGCATTATCTTGTTGAGTCTGTGACTATTGCCTGAGCCCACCGAGCCCAACACGTTGATTGACCTGCTCCAATTTATCTTCAGCGTCGATCCTTTGATCGCTGCAAGTTCCGCGCGATTTCTGCCGCATGACGGCGTACAGTGAGGCACATCTCTGCAAGCCAATAAGTCATTGCAAGCCACTCCTTTGGCCACTTGGCAAGACTTGGCCACTTCACTTGCCGTCGTCGTGGGTCCCGTTTTCTCCCACGGACTTCAGCCTGGAGAGCTTGTCATGATGGTCTCGAGCATGGTGCCGATGGATTGCTTGAAATTCCGGGATCTGGAGGCTGAAATGGCCAGATCGATTGCTGCAGAAACGATAAGGCTCAGTTGAGCCTGACGCTTGGAGTCAATCTCTTGCCATGCTTCCAGTTTGGACTCAGGACGTTGGAGAGCAGTGATGGTGAGGTACCTCAAGCGTTCAACTCAGACTCAACCAAAAGTGCCGCTAATCGATGTAAAAGGCAAACGGCTACCACCTATGACATCTATGACTATGAGCGATTTGGACCCCAAAAACAGCAGCTTGCCGAACATAACCTGGCTCATGTTCAAGTGATTCAGTGGTTCCATTGCCCTTGTGGCCCTTATGGTCAGTTCTTGGCTCAAGGATGCTCAAAGCAATTCAAGGTGGGCCTTGGGCCTTGTATGGATTATGTGTGGGAGTGAGTGCACCCGGAACAATCAGAGTGCGATCAGGTTTGACAAAACCATACAAACCCCAAATTGGCCAACAGCAACACCATCTCAAATGCTCATCCAGCTGCTTCATCTCCACATCGCTGATGGGTTGAGCATCTTCCGCTGCTTGCTTGGCCCTCATGGCCGTTTGCCAAATGCTGTCGGCAAAAGCGTTGTGAGGGCGATTGTCACTAGTCACCTGACGATGGCGCGACAGCCCCTCACGCCGAACCCACCAAGAGAGAGAAAAGAGGGAGAGAGGAGCCTCCTGGAGTGCTGAAGTATGCTAAAGTTGTAACCGCGTGCTCTTTGGAAGTTTATCCACAAAAAGCATGTTGCAGGCATGTGATCCCAATCGGTTGTAAATTCAACAATGACTGACGAAATGTGGCCTTAAGCTCCTCGAAGTCCAGGCCATCTTTGTTGATCGAACGCACCACCAAGCCTGGAGAATGCGCGTTCTGGGCTTCGCGTTCCGGAGAATACAGGTTGGCTGCCCCAAGCCATCCACAAGGGTATCAAGAGTTAACACAACTTGATACTCTTGTGAAGGTCTTCTACCTTTAACATCTCAGGGCACCCACAAGTTCGCCAAGAAGCGCACCACTGCAGCGGCAGGCAGGCCTATGAAAAGAAATGGCTCCAAAGACTGAAGGTCCTCCTTGCTGATGAGGCCCTCATCATGCAGTTGAGTTCCCAAGGCCGCTGTGCGCTTCAAGCACACCTCCCACACCTCCCTGGTACCTTAGCAGGGTGCAAACATGCCACATCAATGAATCAACAAACGCAGCAAGCTGCCCATGCTGTTTGGAATCAAGGAGATTCGAGATGCCCCCAAACATCGGGCCTCTGCCCTCGCGTCTTGGAGAGGCTTACATGGCAATGCATTGGTCTCTCAATCCGTAGTCTGGCCGTGCCTGGTCTCTCAATCCCTTGGGGGCATTGCTCGGAAAACACCCCGATGAAAAAGGTCCCAAACGTCCGGACGAAGAGACTGATGTCACCTGTGACATATCGCCAGGTCTGGGACTGCTCGAAGAAGGCGGAGTCCAAGCTCCTGCTGCCTCCAACACCAAGTTCCATATCTGCCTGGAGGGAATGAATCTAGCCGCCTTGGGGAGGATGTGAGAGGCTTATTGATCAAAGTAGTAGCTTCAACACAGTCAGCATATTCAACAATCTGCAACAATCAAACCAAAGGAATTTGCTGCACACACTCTATAATCACACAGTCTCACCATCTCCTGCCCAAAGCTTTGAGGATGAACTGCATCCAAAGGTGGATCTCTGGGGCAAAGATGTAGGTCTGGTTGCCAGTTGGTGTGGTAAGACCAACAGTCTGACACAATCAGGTGTAGTAGGCCTATCAGTCCTGAAGATTCTCCCAGATCGATGACCCCTCCCACCAAGAGGTTCATGAGGCTAATCTCTTCGTGGGCCAAAGTGCCGGAAACGATCCACCAGAAAGCAAAGAGAAAGAAATACAGAAACGACAACACCAGCACTAAGGGCACACGCAATGGCCACAGCAGAAGTGTCACGAAAGATGAGCAGCACTTGCCACCACAAAGTCCTCGACATGCCCGGAGAAATATCACTGGACTCCAAACCAGTGCAATGCCAGCAAAGGCCAAAGCCAAATAGAGGGCTATGAGCGGAGCCACCAGAGCAGCACGGGCACTTCCGAAAATGAAGCGGACCGTAAGAAGAGGAAAAGCCCATAAATTCGCACATGCAATCATGCATGGGAGGACACAACAAAGAAAGCATCCACACAAACAATAGCCCAATGGCCCCTTGGGTACAATGTCTTGAGCGTCCATCACAGGCTGGAAAGACCCGGACCCGGCTTTCCATGCCATTGGACCGACCATAGCTCTCACAGCGTGTGGTGGGCCCTTCACTGCATGTTGAAAATGCCGGTTGTTGAACGCTACTAGTCGACGAGGCTGAGCATCAACGACATGCTGTGAGCCTGTGCCTTCTAGCACTAATTGAGAGCCAGGCCCTTGTAGCCAAATGATGACTGTGTAAGTTTGAACATAGTGACTCCGCAGTCCTCCCCACACGTCACGATGACTTCTCACATCCCCTCGGCTCATCATCGCAGGCAGCAGTACATCCCCGCGACCGCTGCTCTCGACCGGGGTGATGCCAATCGCTGACCTTGCAGCTTCGACCACAGGCCCCGGCACTTGGACCTCTGCTCTCCGACCAGTTCCCTGATTCACCAGGCCCGGAAGCTGAAAGTCTTCAAAGGCCAAAAGCCCTTGATGCTCCAATTGATCCAAGAGACTTTGCTGCAAAGCTTCGTCAATAAACTCATCGATGATGATCAAATGATCCATGCCATGCAGCCGGCTACAGCTTGAGGCCAAAGGCTCTGTCACAGAAAAGCAAAACTGTTGAACATCTATATACATAGTTAAAGTTCAACAGTTCAAAGTCTGGCTCCTTTTGAAAGCTCACGACGTCCTTTTCGGTTGAACATGTTATAAATTTCCAAGCTGCTCGCTTGGTTATAGAATGTAGAAGAGGAATCTGGGTCACAACTCTGCATGCTGGGGCACTGTGCGGTTGAGCTTGACAAAGTGAGAAACGTGTGGATGAGGTCTGTGGCGAAGGCGTCTTCCGGAAGCGCTCGACAAAGGCTCGGTCACAGTGTTTTCGCCTGTAGAAGGAGATCAACATGAATTGGATTGAGTTAAACAAATTTTAAATAGACCGGTAGAGCACATTCTCAAACATGATGAAATAATGATGAACTACTGTTGCCCTTGCAGTATGCCGCCTGTTACAACTACAACCTCCCCAAGCAACACTGGCCGCTGACCTCGCAGTAGCCATGCGCCACCAAAATGAGGACCATGCAGCTGCACCCTCCCGGAGCAAAGGACAAATCCAGTCGATTGGTGTGCCATTTGGCAATATCCCAAAACTCGCAATCCTAACCTGGGACAAAGTAGGAAGTAACTTTTGACACGTACAACAGGAACACACCATGACAGAAAGCAACATCAAAAACAGTACAAAGGCACTCAAGTCCACAAAGTCTGAAGACCGACCAAGAGGACGCAGAGATTGTGATGAATCCGTAGATATTACGCCCGGGAAAATTAACATGGAACCTGAAAACCACTGGGTTGTAGAGGAAAACCGTCTTCCAAAGGTCCATGTTCAGGTTCCATGTTCAATTTCCCAGGTGTATGTGTGATTGGAGGTCCCGAACATGCCCTGGCAGCCCTGGCGTCACCCTCCAAACTCTCCAGGCACCTGGGGACACCGCATGAGTTCACTGGGCCCAGCTGCCGGCGAGCAAGTGCCTCAGCGGACTGCGTTCCAATGCCCCGTCATGCCCCGTCTATCCGCTGGAGATCGGGTTTTCTCGCTTGGAGATGCTGGAGATTTCTAGACTCTCTTTGCTTTCACGGCAAACTCATGGTGCCGTATCACATTCATGGTCCAAGTATTGCACAAATTCAACACGTACACACATGGCGGGTTTGGTCCTTTGCAGTTTCCTTTTCATCTCCCCACCTCTGTGTTCATCCTGAACTTGCGCCTGCGCCGGTCGGTCTCGGGGTCTCACGATGGAAAAGTAGGGCAATGCTGAAAAGAAAGGAACATGAACATCATGGACCTGGATAAGCATCACTTGAAGTGTTCACAATCTGAGCCGTATGATCCACTTCCATGCCTAGTGGATGGCGCAACTGCAACATTACTTGCTGGGGGAAAAACATCCAGTGCACCAACATGCTTGGGATTCGGCATTGGATTACCAAACCTCAGCCTGTAGCAGTGAGCCAAGGACTTCAAGGACCTAAGGAATATGGTGCTCAGCTTCCGTCAACGCCGCTGGTCCTTCGGAGTCTGTGACCAAAACAATGCACGGGCTGACGACCTCGGTGAGAGCTGCGAAACACACACAGCGACACAGCGAGTCCACCAGGGCAGCTGGTGGTTTCCACCAGGCCAGCTGGTGGCAATCCCCACTTGGCGGTGGTTTTGCCCCGCTGAAGTGTGTCTGACTGTTTCATGCTGTGAGGGATATGAAGAGAAGTCATCTCCAAGCATTCCCATGAATGATATTATGTCTTGAAGATAACATATACCAACCTATATAGATTGCAAATTAAATGAAACACAGCCTTGCAAACACCACATGATTTCATGTATTCCAGCATCCGATCCAATCTTTCGATAAGTATGAAGGCTGGACTGATCCAAATGTCAGTAAGTACGCTTGACCGACTGCCAACTGGTGGCCGAGTGACAATCCCTCCACAACACCGGTCTCTACATCGACCGTCGGTGAATAGGTCTCCAAGTCGATGGTTTCACCATCAGCGTGGCGTCGAAGGAGGTCAAGCATTTGAAGAGTTTCATCAAACCACGCCTCCCCGCACGAGCCCCGGATAAACCAAAATCACCGCATGAACATCTCGTGAATCTCTTGAAAGGAGATCACGCCGTAACTAAGCAAGGGGGTACTACCAAACCATCAACGATGGGCATTACACAGCTTAGCTTCAATCGGTTTCAATCGCTCGACTTGAATTCGGTGTAGCAAGCTTGCTGTTGCCTGGTTTTCAAGGTTCTGGGTGCCGGCAACAAACTGTGCGATGTGACGACAGAACCTTGGACGTAGCCAGAAGTAGAATAATTGATGACTGGTGGCAAAAAGAAACCTAGGATCATCCTTGATAACCTCTTTTTTCCGGTGTTTCTTTTTTCACAGTTTCACCTGATCCAATCCTATCCAATCCTGGTCATTGTCCAGTATCTCACATCGACTCGACATGACTCGACACATTCCTTGAGCATTCCCACCTGACCTCAGTCTCCAGGAACTCCTGCTGCCAATGAAAGACCCAAAAGCTGCCACCGCGGCTGTAGCGCCGGTGGTCTGGAACCTTGGTGCGGTCTTGGTCTCCCGCGCGAGCGTCAAGAACCGCCAAGCACGGTAGCCCACCTTTGGAGGCAGGAAGACCAGGCCAAAGGCTTGGCATAGTTTCAAAGGCAAAAAAGGGTCTATCCATTGGGTCTATCCTAATACCTGTAACAGTGGATGATGGTTCAGTTGCAGGCCTTGTTGCAAAAAGAGTCATAATTGTTTACTGACTGTTACAGGTAATAGGACAGACCCAAACTATCCAACATCCTCAAAGCTTGGTCAGGGATTACAAAGAAAACAAGAGTGGCCACCAGCACCAATTTTGGAGGAACCTCAGCGATGAACCATTGGTTTGGCCTGTGCTGTCTGTTTCACACACAAACATGACGTGGATGTTTAAAGAAGTGGATCATAAAACCTCGACACACAATTATATATCTTCAAATGTCACTCACCAATTGACAGCGCACCATAAAAGCAATTCTTCCTGCTGCGAAATTCGGCCAAAATTATTCCTTGCCAGAATACGTAAAGGAACTCCTCCGCCAAGTTGAGCAAATTTGCCCAGCGGATTGGCGCCACAGCAAGTACTGTGAGCGCTTGCCTTGGGACAGCAACATTGGACATGCATCTGATTCTGGAAACTGAATGCGCCAGCAGCAAAACCCCACAGCGCCAAGGGCAAATCCCTGTTAGGAGAAGGATGAGGTGTCCTGCGTTTGTAAACTACACGGTTGCTATTTACAATGCTTTGGACATCACACCCTCTGCGTCTGCTCATTTCAGCGGCTTGGGTGCGTGAGCGGTATTCTCTTCGATGGTTGATCGAAGGTACGGTTGATGGTGGGCAGGAAATGCCTGGGGGTTGTCTTAAACTACAGTTGTACTTGTGGAAGGCACAGGGCTTGGACAAATGCATCTCAAATTTTGGGGCGCTGGAGTGGGGGGAGGAGGGCTTCAGCTACGAGAAGCCACAGCTCAATCGATGGTACAGTTGAAGGGGTCTTCATGGGTCTTTGTTGTTTGGTTGTGTCTGTGTGCCGTGAGGTTTTAGAAAGGCCTTACTAGTAGGAACAAGAAGCTAGTAGAAACAATAAGCTTACTAATAGCTTCTTGTTACTACTAGTAAGGCACTCGTTACTACTAGCGTGGCACTTGTTCCTACGTCAATCCGGTAGGTTCACTCGGACTCATTAAAAGCAAAAGTGCGGGTCCAATGCGACAAAGGACAACTGTCAGGATCGGGGTTGGGTGCAGAATGCTTGGCTGAAAAACGACAATGAAAGCAAAACAAACAACGGCATAAGTTTTGTTTGATGCAACAAAACAACAAAGGAAACCAGCCACAAGAAAAACAAAAGCAAAGCAACACACATTCCCAAAAATCAACGTAGCATCCTAAATCAAACGCTCGCCCCTTCTCTCAAGTCGGCTCTTACTTACCGCCCGCCCGCCCGTGGCGATCCTTTCGCGGCAAAACAAGTAGGTTCTCCATAGTTTTCGTTTTGCACGCTTCGTGAAGGCCTGTTTGCCTTTTGTCCCCTGCTCCCAAACTTGTGATTCCTGTGTAAAGCATTACACGTGAACACCTATATAAGGCTCAAATTGTATTGCTAAATCAAAGGACGTCAGGATTTGGTGAGTGTATTGTTATATACTGTTTTGTTTCTAGAACCTATATATGTTTGGAGATCCATCACTGTACTTGTGCAATCTTGCGTAAATTTTGACCATACTTAATGTCTTTCACCATCCAGTCGCCAGCCTTTTGCCAACTGTTTCCCTTTCGTGGAATGTCTAGTTTTGAAGCTTCACGGATGACTCCCATCTCAATGCCGAAACCATGAGTAAGCATTGCAAAACATTCAGCAGCTTGTTACACTGATCAGCGCTCCAAAACAGTATAGCACCATTAAAAAAGAGTTTACAATTTGCAAATTGTCTCAGCAAGGCCTTACAAACCTCGGGTAGACTTGCGACACGGGGTGAGGATAAACAATTGAAATGACGTGAAACAAGGGCCCTCTTATACAACTTGAGAGGAGGGAGACACGAAAGGTAGGACGGGAAGAGAAGAGAACGCGAGAGGCAGGAACAAACATGCAATGTTCGACATGGTGATTTATCCCCTCGGAGGCGACCTTTCGTAAATATATGTTCATATGCACTCTAAATGTTCAAACATATATGCTCTCGAAATGTTCAAAAAAGATTCTTAGGAAAACAAACTTGCCCCATGGCTCAGATCATCGGTGAGCATTGAATCGGAGCATCATAGGATTTGAACTATCCTGAAACCATAAGAGGCTCACGAAGACGCTCCCCACGAGAGAATTGACGTGCTTCACAAAACAAATAGGTATGTATCCCCTCGGGGAATACCTTTCGTGATTAGAATTTCATATGCACTCTTTCTGAATGTTCAAGAGGGTTTCAACTATCCTGAAATCATGAGAGGCTCACGAAGACGTTCCCCAGGAGAGAATTGAATTTAGAGGGGGGGGGGGTCTGTATTGAAAAATCAATTCCAAGGGGGCGGGGGGGGGGTCTGTATTGAGAAATCAATTCGAGGGGGGGGTTGAATTGAATGATCAATTATTAGACCCGGACGCGCCAACACTTGCTTCGCAAGACAAACTCAAGGTATCCCCTTAAGGGCTACCTTTCGTGAAATGCGGTATGGCATCATTGCTTACCTTGCCAAGGGGCATCAAGGACATTTACAGTGGCCTTCCAGTTCAAAGCCAAAACATATTTGCTCCCTGCAGAAACATCCTGGTGTCAGTTTAGGCAAGTTTGGGCCTAACGCCAACCTGAACCTGGACGTTCTAAACCTGAACAGTCTGATTCTCCACGGTCAAATACACCAATCAGGCCAGTAGCTGCAGGGGATGTGGTCGCCCTGTGAAGTTTGGTCGGTGAAGGCGCGGCTCGCATGGTGCAGGCAAGGGGTTCCCGCCAAGTCCACCAACTGAAGGCAGTGACCAAGTGGCAACCTTCAGGGAATACGAGCACATGCCAGTCATGTGCTTAATTAATCGTACTTCAAACTCATGTCCGAAGTCCTTAAAGGCACCTTTGATCAACTACCATGTAATGTATGGTTATGCAAAGGAATGCAGTGGCGGCGGCTGGATATCAAGCCTCCTCTACGGCTGCAGCAGGGAATTCTCCACTCCGCAAGCGAATCCGGCGCAAAGGGCCATCCATAAGAATTGAGGGACCCGCACCCAGCCAGGACGTAACAGTTTGAATCTCAAGGGTTTCTCCCGAACAAGACAATTCCACTATATATGGATGTCTTTCATCCATGGGCCAGGGTTCCTGGGAATGGTTCCACCAACATGACACTCAAGTAAACGATGAAGAGTCCTTCTAAGTGGCTGCAGCTTCAGCGAAGGGTTCGGGAGTGTTGCAAACTCACCGAGTCGCATCCACCGAGCTCCGCCGAGTCGTAACCCCGATTAGATGATGGGGGATTAGACACATGTGTGTTTTCCTCGTAACACATTTGCTTTCTTTTTTATTGGGGGGGTAGGCCGCTAGTAGAGGCAAGTAGTAGCTAGAGCTAGGTAGCTAGTAGAAGCTAGGTAGCTTCAGCTAACAAGTAGCTACTACCGACAGGACGCAGGATAGCTCACACTTCTTCAAGGAAGCCTCGCCGCCCTAAAGCCGGCGCGGGAAAACTTCCTTGAAGAAGCGCTCGCACTAAAGATTTGGTTTCTAGATTTTAGGGAAAGCCTGTGCATATCATCTTTCACATTTCATTGTTGTTATTTGAACATGTGTCCACTTCTTGATCCTCGGCTGCTCTTTTCGGCAACAGGTGCTCATCGATCAAAACTATGCTGCAGGTCTCCACTCACTCTCTCTCTGTCTCTCTCTGCATTTGTCTCTCTCGCTCTCACTCTCTCATTTTCTCTCACTCACTCTCTCACTCTCTCTCACTCTCTGTGTCTTTCTCCCCCTCCAAGCTCTTAGATGCACCACTTGTAGACCAATCCGCAAAATGATCAAACAAGGTCTAAACAAAGGTGAGAAGATCCACAACATGAGGCCACCCGTGTAAGCCATGGTAATATGTGTTTCTATCTTCAGGCAGCTCATCCACGAAGCCGACATGTCATTCAACCATGTGCCAGGAACCTCCGGGTCCCTGAAGCAAGTGGTTTGGGTCCATTGATCCTATGGCCTCCAACCTAAGCACGATGGCCTCCAACTTTGGGTCCGTTGATTGATGTTGGCTGTACCAACTAGACCAATTCTTTGACGATCCCCGACTAATAGCCCGGCCATGCCAGGCCGCGTAGCAACATGATCTCCAAAGGCCACAAACTTATATAAGCCAGTTCTCTCACCAGAAACATAAAGATTTCTTCAAGCAAGCATGCCCTGTCAGGCAAGTGTGCGTTTTCCGATCATCTTTGGATCAAAATGCACTTCACTTGGCATTGGCGTTGAACATATCTAAGAGACGGTAAAGCCACATGTCTGCCTTACTGGGACCCCTCATCGGTTGGCTTTGCTGGCTTTGCCTGCAGGTGAGAGAGTCGCTCAATGGGCTGGTGGTGAATTTCAACTTGTTTCCTGGTTTGTACATTGTACATGGGGTTTATCGCTGCAGAAACGTAGCATATGATTCCACCGGTCACCTGGCCGCATGATTCCACCTGCTCCAGAAGATGAACGGCTGCCGGGGCGTCGTTGCTCTTCTCGGAGACTCTTCTAGTGATGTCTGCATGGTACTTACTTCACAGGATTCTCAGGACAATGTCGGATATATATCTACACACCATGTTCGGTCACATTGATATCATTCAACATCGGTAGAGTCGGTAGAGCTCGCGCTCTACACCGACATCTACCGACATCTACCTGCTGAGCAGTATGCTGCTGCACCTGGTCGGGCTGCACCTGGACGACTTGCTTCGGCTTCCCGGAAGACTTGGACAGCATCCTGAGGGTGGGAGATGAGCTTCCGGAGTTTCACAGGGTATTTCTGTCCCGTGTTTCCGGTGCTTTTGCCAGAGTGTGCCCAGGTGGTTGGACCAGTTCATGTTCCAAGCCCAGATCCAGTTCCAAAGTGGTGGTAGCTGTCTCAGGGGTGGGGCAGCAGTTCTAGTTCCAGTTCCAGATCCACTTCCAAAGTGGTGCTCACTGTCTATGGGGGGGAGATCCAAATCCAGTTCCAGTTCTAGATCCAGTTCCAGTTGTCATGTCAATGCCTATGATGAACTTTACATTACTGTATATGTATATATATATATACTTACATACTGTATATATTTGTTGTTGGGGGGAGGAGATCCAGTTCTAGTTCCATATCTAGTTGCCATTTCAATTCTTCTGATAAAGGAAATATATAACTATTGCTGTTTTTGGAGGGGGGTGGAGTTCCAGTTCCTGATCCAGTTCCAGCGGGGAACACTATGGGTTTTGCAAAGTGTCTCATCCTTACCGGCTGGATAAGTTGATGCATGACATGCTGCATTGACTCACCCGCTGAATGCTGACCAATGCGTCGTGGGAATTCACAATTTGCCTTATGGTCTGTGGCGATGTATCACGCCCCTCATGTTGCTAGAACATGCCAAAACAGCCAACGGCTGAGTGGAAGGAAAACTACTCTTCACTTGTCACTTGAGAAAACTCCAGTCAGAAAGCTCCATTCGGCCGTTCTGATTCACCCAGCGTAATTGCCTTGCCTTGCCAAAGCAGCGCCATATCGCTTCACGTACCAAGCCATCTTCCCTGTGGTGCTGATGTTCAGCAAAATGAGTGCAACGATACCACATGGTTGTACCAACGTGATCAGCTCCACAAAGGTTTGACATCTTGGACAAGGCAAAGTGCACTTCATCGATCCGGGAAAATGATTGCGCTAGAGGACATGTAATGAAGAAACATCTACATCATCATACACTTTGTGCAACCGCCATAGGAAAACCATCCATCATCATCCATCTCTAATTGTGAGCTCTTGGTCGGGTCTCCGACTGATATCTCCGAGGCATCTTCAAAAACAGCTGAGAGGCATCCTGAACAGCTCCGCACACTTGGCGCATCCCACTTGTCCATGGGAATGCTCTGGAAATTGCAGCAGTCTACCAAACACATCAACTTGTGGCTTTTTTCTGGCAAATACCCAAACGAAGCCAAACGAATGCAAATGGTATATTAATTATATAAATATACACATTATTGTGCGAACGGTTCGATGAATCAAACATGTGGAAATCCATGGAAATCCAAATTGCACTTGTGTGAGGCAACTCGGCAACTAAGTGCTGTTGTCTCCCTTGAAGTTCTTGAGCGACAAAGCCTGCTGCTGCTTCGCATTGCCATACCTCCCATCGTTTCTTGTCATTCGAAGCAGCAAATCACCGAATTCATATTCCACGCTTCACTTGTCTACAACTACATCATACTGCATCAGTCCACAGTGATCCACACCATTCTCGATCCACAGTCTTCCCACAGCGCGTTCACTCTGTCGAGACTCCCACAGCGTCCGCCACCCGTCGATTCTTGGCGCACGCTGAAAGGAGCATGGCATAGGCCCGTTGCTCCGGAGGGATTCCAAGTGTCAGCATCTCATTGAAGAGGCTCTGCGGGGCATATCGAGGCGTATCGAGACGTGCGAGGTCTGTCAGGGATCTTCGGATGATCGAAGAGTCAACAGGATTAACAGCTGATGGCGGCCTAAAACACGGAAACCCGCCCACCTGACACAGGGACAAACATGAATCGTGCCAAGGCAAAAGTCTTGGGTATGCTTGTTTTGTGCGCATGACCAGCTTTCTTATGTACCTGGCAAGGAAGCACTTCCTTTTCCCCACGTGGGCGTTCGTGGCTCCGCCACCTCCGCTGCCTGCTCCTGGCCGAGAGGGCACTCCCTATCACCACATGGCAAATAACTATCCTAGCAACATCTAAAAACTCCAATACCACCAGTCACAAGTCGGGGTGCCGAACTTGGAGGAAGTCGGGGTGCCCCTGTCACATCCACTCGATGGGACTCCGGTCGGTGACTGAAAGCACTTCACTCCCGCGAAGTGGAAGCCTGCAGGTCCTTGTCTTGTTCAAGGCTTTGACCTCAGCACCCAGTGCCCTTCCACTTCACTTTGGGATGGTGTCAAAGCCGAGCTTCTACAGATCCAAACATCCAAGCCAAACTAACACAGCAACCGACAAACGCCTTTGGACAGTTTGGAAGTTGACTGTCTGGTGGCAGTTGCGCCAAAGTCGTTTGGGGAGGGTAGTTGTGGATCTCCGTGTGTTCCTTTAGACTGCGACTCACAATGTACAAATCCAATCATAGGCCTACATCTTACGTCTTTGTTTTCCTTGCACAAACGTTGATAGAGACTTGCATAATAGTCAAACGAGATGAACAACAAAATGTATTAGGGACCCTTCAAAGGGCCTCATCAAAGGGACCCTTACTTCTGTTTTTCCCTCGCTCTCTCTCTCTCTCTGCGTGGCAGGCTCCTCTCTCTTCGTGCCAAACCACAAAAACACGAATTGCCTTGAAAACTTAAAGCATCTTAAAACTACGAATAAACCCCCACCCTAAACTCACCCCGCAATATCAACTTGTTCTGTGCTTCTCCAGCCTGCCCTTGAATAGGGAATCTGCATGAATCTGCCGGAATAAACAAACATCTTTTTAAAAAAATCAACATTGCTGAACCCCAGGATGCCATGATATGCCATGATATCATATGTGTCAAATTTGATCTCAGCAGTTGCAAGATCATCACGACACCTGAAATTCTGGTTGAGGGCCCCAACATTCTGCGGTGAGCCATTGATCTTCCCGGCCTTGGCACTTTGGGGTGCCCTAGGCCTGCCCATCAAAACCCCCCATAGCCCTTCCCTCCATATGTCCTGCTTTGTGAATACCCTTTGACCATATGAACGGACACAAAGTGCTGCGGCCCGTGCTCAATCGTTCAATGCCTCAGAGGACGGGAAACAGTGAACCTTTCTCTCGAGACCAACAGGACATACGTACTTGCACCTTCTCCCAGGGACTCAAGGGGTTTCTTCAAAATGTTTTTGCAACAACCTGTCAACATCAAACACGTCACCATCCTTTTCTTGTGAACAAATCATCTTTGTCTGTCAGGAATGTCTCTCTCTGACCATGTCTTGGTCTGGCTGACACACCTAACAGTTAACATACTTTCATCCTGGGCACAATCTTGCCAGTATTCCAGCTCTCGTCGCTCGGCACAGCGCCCTGCACCCAGTACCCGGCCGGTTGGTCAGGACATTTGGTTTTCCCAAAGGACAACAGCTACTTTACTTCGAGCGACCCCGACCATGACATGTCACTCAGCTGCTTGCATGCCAAGGAGGGGAACATGTTGCCATAGGGGGTTTGTGGATGTTGGCTTCGCTTGTGGGTCTTCGGTGTTGGGGTTGTTGTTTTAACGTTGGGGAGTTCGCATGGCGTTCTATCCAAATTGGGGCCCTGTGATCGTGTGACCACCTGCCACGCAAAATGCACCACAAACACACGCACACAGGTATATATTATATTGCTGTGTTGTGTTGTGTTTGTGTTGTTTGTGTTGTGTGTGTGGTGTGTTGTTGTTGTTGCTGTTGTTGTTGTTGTTGTTGGCGGCGGTGGTGGTGGTGGTTGCGGTGGTGGGTGCG